GGGTGAGGGGGCCAGAGGGGACCCACTGAGTGCTGGGAACCAGGTGGGGGTGGTGAGCAGGGGAAGGCAGAGAAACTCCCTGGTGAGTCTCCCCCACTCTTACCCCCATCACTGAACCCTGCACCTACGCCCTCAGGCCCCTCCAACACCAGCAGTGCAGGCCCTGGTTTGAGGAGAGCGACTGCTCTAGGCAGGGACCTTCTGTGGGAATAACCCTGCTTCCCTCCCAGCTGCCCACCTTCAGTCCACACAGGCCACACCCAGCTAGAAGATTCCAGTCGGGAGTCCCTCATTCAGCAAATGCTGCTGGCACCTCCCATGGCTCCCAGAGGTGCTGCAGACAGGCTGGGTCTCGCCTGGAGCACAGGCGAAGCCCTTGAATTGTAGGTACATGAGCCAACATTAGACGCTCTAGGTGCCGGAAGTGAGTGCTGAAGGGAGCCAGCAGGGGACCCCCTGGCAGTGAGTGGCTGATTTCGCACAGTCCAGAGGGGCTTCCAGTGCTGAGGACAAGGGGGGCAGAAGGAAGGATGCAGGGGGCCAGCAGGCCTCCTGTACTGCTGACAGGGACCAGAGGGAAGGCGAGGCCTGTGCTGGGTGAGGCGACCTGTCTGCCACGGCCACCCTGGGAAGGCCCCTTTCTTCTCTGGGTCTCATCTTCCCCATGGGAATGAGCAGAACTGAGTGTTGAAAGTAGATAAAGATAACGATAATCTTTCATTATCTGTATTGCAAACCATAAGGCCCAAAAGGAGAGAGAGAGAGAGAGAGAGAGAGAGAGAGAGAGAGAGAAATGGAGAGAGAGAAATGGAGAGAGAGAGGGAGAGAGAGACAGGGAGAGAGAGAGAGAGAGAAGGAAAGAGAGACAGGGAAAGAGAGAGAGAGACAGGAGAGAGAGAGAGAGACAGCTGCCATAGTGACAGGCAGGGGGTTGGGAGACAGGAGGGAAACTGGGACCATTGGTGGTGGGAAATGCACAGTGGTGGAGGGGTGGGTGTTGGAACATTATATGACTGAAACCCAATCATGAACAACTTTATAATTGTGTATATCACTGTCATTCAATAAGGTAAAGGTAAAGGTAAAGGCCCTCCCGTTGATCGTCGATTTGCTCGAGCGGGCCCAGTAACGTCTCCATTGGAGACTTTGTTGTTACTGTGTCTGGCATATCGAATACTCTCGGTAGCTTGCCGGGCTCTCCGAGAGGGGCGGAGGAATCGAACTCGGGTCGGCCATGTTGGCCGCTTGTAAGGCGAACGCCCTACCCGCTGTGCTATCACTGTCATTCAATAAAAAATAAATTTTAAATTAAAAAAAGAAAAGAGTGACCCTCCCACAGGCCTGGGCATTCAATAGCTTCACCATGGAGGCCACAGTGGACACGGTGTCCTCCTGGGAAAGGGCTTCCTGCCCCCTCCGGCCTGTCCAGCTTCCCCTCCAGCTTCCCCCGACTGATGCTTTCACCCATTAACGAGAACTTTTCTCTCTTCTGAGAGTTGCTGGCCACGGGCCCCTTCCCTGCTGGCCCTCTCACCCTTGCGGTCCTCCTCTCTCTCTGCCCCCCCCCCCCCGGCTCTCTGGTCAGGCCTGGAGTACAGGCGAATCCCTGGAGCCTGGGGCCTCCCTCCAACACCACCGAAACTCGAAGGAGCCGGAGATTCTGTGTCCCTGCACCCCCTTCTTGACTCATCCTTTCTCCTCAGGGCTCTCCTTAGTTGTATATCTGTGTCCAAGGTCAGCTGCTGGAATGTCCGCGCTGCAGGAAAAGGTGTCTATTTCCTCCTAGGACAGCCCCTGACCCCCTGGGAGTGTTTGGTGCTCAGTAAGAATTTGTTCATGAACACAAGGAAGGAGAACTGGCCACCACTGGCGACGCCAGCACAACCAGTGAGGCCCTGAGGGTCACGTGACTCCCAGGCAGAGGCCTCCCCACACCCAGAGGCCAGCCTCAGGACCTCCATCGCTGACTCCCCTGCAAGACCTGCACTCGCCAGTGCTCCAGAGCCAGGTGAGCACTGCAGCCTCCATCAGGAAGCCCCGCCTTCCTCTCACCTACCCACCCTGGACACATAGCGGGATTCCAGGGGGCAGCCTCGAGATGACAGTGCGGTGCAGAGTGAAGAGAGAACAGCTTTCTGGGAGACCCAATCAGGAGGCCTGAAGCAGAGGCCATGGTTTCCTGGGCTTCAGTCGTCTGGGCACCCTCAGAAGGCAGTGGGGGTCCTCGAGGCCCCCTCCATGAAGATGGGCTCTTGTGTCCCCTCTGGAGGTGCCAGTTCTCAGCGCATCAAGTAAGCAGAGTCCAGGCCCCTTTGTAAAACTTTTATTTAGAAATCTTCCCCATACATCCTTATGTACATACACACATCATCACCACACGGGTTTGGATGCTAGAGTCACACGCCCACAGCGCCGGCCTCGGGGCTGCTCAGAGGTGCTGTACCGGGAGCGACTGCTCCCCTCGTGCAGAGAAACGCAGAGGCAAGCACAGTTCAACGTACAGTACAACACAGACGGGGAGAACGTGCCTGCCCACCGCCTCGCCGCTCTGTACAGGGGCGGGGGCGAGGCTGGGCCACGGGCCACGTACCATTGCAATCACAAGTACGAAGAGACCCACCCGCCAAGGCTGAAACAGGTGTCGGCCCGGAGGGCTGCTGTGCCCTTGGTTTTATTCTCAGGAAAGGATAAAGGCTGTACCATCGGGTCATTTGCCACTACAAGTAAAATTCTTTTAAAAGAGTGAATTGTTCAGGAGCCACGGCTCCCTCCAGGCCGTGCCAGCTTCTATGCTCCCCTCCTCACTTCTTCCCTTTTGCACACTCATTGTTTCTAACATCAGCACTATTCCAAGAATGTTTCTGTTTCTTCCTGGATGGGAGCAGAGGCAGAGAAAAGAGAAGCAATTGGGGTGGGAATGATATACTAAAAAATTCTGGGTTTCTCTGGTTCTCACATGTGCCTGAGACTTTGCTCTGGGCTCCCTGGGCCCGTCTGGAGGAGCCCTATTCCATTTTGCATAGTCTGCCAAGGTCCTCTCTCTCCTTCCCATTCTCATTCCTGTTCCTCTCTGTGTCATGAGACAGAAATGCGGTCCATCTGGAGAGCAGACAACTCCCTACGGTAGTCCGGAAACCCAGGTGCAGACGGGGCCTGGGGAAGAAGCCTGGCTAGGCCTCCGGGTAGCCTGCTCCCCAGACTCACAGTGGGACCCCAACAAAACAGCGTGGCTACTGAGGTGGTGACTGAGCCCCTGTGTCTCCAGGTTCCTGCTTCTGCGATCCCATTCTGCCCAGGGCTCAGGCCTGTGAGACTGGCCACACCCGAGTCTTTGCAAGAAACTGGCTTTGGGAGAGAGAAGCCCCCTGCCTCCAAACCCCAGTCCGCAGGCCCACCACAGCCACTGGTCCCTCCTGACTCAAAGCCACCAATGGGAGGTGGATGCTATTGGACCGGGCCTGTGCTGCTCATCTTTAAATCGAGGGAACTGCTGACAGTTGCTTCAGAGCACAGAAGACAGCAGTCCTAAAGCTGGTCGAGACATGATTCCGGGAGGCTGAAGGGGACAGAGAAAGCTATCAGGCTAACCAGGCTTCATCCGGGCCTAAGAACTGGTCCTTGTAACTTAACGGAAGGCAGGGTTCAGGGAAGGGTTCAGGGACCACCCCAGTCTGCACGTGACTGTACTTAAGGCCTGACCACTAGCAAAAACCCAGACCTCAAAGGGTCTTGCAGGGTCATGATGGCCAGAGTCAGTGCCCACTTACAGTGCATGGGCAGCAGGCTCAGCATGAGTCCCCTCCATAGCACTGTCCCGTGCAGCAGGTTGGGAGGCCAGCAGGGTACCAGGCTCAGGCGCAGCTGGCCCCTGGGCCAGGAATGTAGGCCACAGGCAGGTCTGGTCTTGCAAAGACCATGTTCCACCGGATACAGGAGGCCAACAGGGAGGGAGTGGGCCACACTACAAAAGGACTCTTCACTTTACAAACAGACTTGCCATAGGATTTCTTTCAAAGATAAAGGAGAGGAGCTGATTTACAAAACTTTCCTGTACAACGTTTGGGTGGGGGGGAGGGGGGCACACAGATCGCATGAAGGCGCTCGCCCACACCCCCTCCCCCCGGTGCTGGACTGAAGCTACCGCTAGTGAATGGGTGTGGGTCTGGGATCCTGGATCTGAGGCCTGGAGTCCACACCCTCGAAGTGGGGCTGGACCAAGGCCTAAAGACCCCAACAACAACTGAAGTCAAGGAAAAGTCCCCCAAGCCAGAAATTCGGAGCACAGCTGGTGCTTGGGACAGGTCAGAGCACAGACGTCAGCCATTGGCTATCACCAACAGAGGGCGGGATCGAGGGTTTGAGCATGAGGGAGACTGTCCCAATGGGGCCACGCCTCTGCTCTCAGCACCCATGGGTGCGCATGGGCTCTGGGTCCCCAGGAGGAGCAAGACTGGGTCGGGTAGCTGGGTACACGGGCACCCAGAGCCCAAAACATGTCCGTCCATCATACTCCAGATCCCTTTCTCTGCAATCCCACAGACCCCAACAGGGAACGTTCACGGCCACAGAGAGGGACCCCGACGGCCCTAAGGATTAGTAAGGAAGGCAAAAGGCAGAGCTTTGATCCCCAGGGCAAGAGGCAAGGCTCCTGGGTTCTCGGGCCCTCTGGCCCAGCCGGCCAAGCACCAGCCCTCCACTCCATCCCCCCAGAGGAAGGCACCCGGAGGCTGAGGTGGCTTGGCAGCAGCTGCAAGCTGGATAGACCAGCATGGGCCTTGGTGAAGACGGGGCTCAGCAAATGGGCAGCTCTTGGGTACCTAGAGATTTGGACAGAGTGGCCACAGAAGTCACCCTGCGAGCGGGAGGAGGCTGGGGGGCAAGGCGCAGGCTGCTGAGAACCCAGGGGAGACGCGTCTCTGAAAAGATGGGGAGCCCAAGCTCCAGGCCCCAAGCAGTGCACCTCGAGCCTCTTGCTCGGGAACTCTGAGGGGCGGGAGGGAGGGGCAAGACCGTGCCGTCGTCGTCATGAAAGTACCACTTTGCTCCGTCCTTCCAGTCTCCTGCCAGGGCTAGAAATGGGGCGGCCAGCTGCAGGGGGCGGAGGGCTTCCAGGAGTTTAGCCATCGAGGAAAGCTCAAGTTCACTGCCCTGCCTCAGGGCTGTCCGAGTCCTCTGCCCACCTGCCCCGAAGCCCCGGGGCCCACAGGCCTGGGGACACCCGCCTGGCCTGCCGGGCCCAATCACCGGGGACCGGCTCCGTCCGCGGCGGGCAGCAAGGCGGGATGGAGGCCGCGGGCAGTGTGCTTGGGCGCCGGCTCCTCTGTGTAGCTGTCCGGGCTGGCCGCCCCGTCCAGGGAGCTGCCGCAGCTGGAGTTGGGGGAGAGCACGTCCTGCAGGAGGTCGTCGGGGGGCGCGCCGCCCCCGGCGCCGCCCCCTCCGCCCGCCCCCACGCCGGGGTCCTTGCCAGGCTTGGCGCGCTGGCTGCCCTCCTCCTCCTGGTCGTTGAGCAGCTTGGCCAGGAAGTTGATGTACTTCATGGCCAGGCGGAGGATCTCGTTCTTGCTGAGCTTCTTGTCGGGGGGATGAGTGGGGATGAGCTTACGCAGCTCCGCGAAGGCCCCGTTCACGTTCTGCTGCCGCCAGCGCTCCCGGCTGTTGGTGAAGATGCGCCGCACGACTTTGGTGTGGGGACCTGGGGGACAAGGGTCGGGAGCATGGACCGGAGGCCTCCCTGGGAGGAGGAGGACCACCGCGGAGCAGACTGGGCAGCTCCTGCCTCCTGCCCTATCCCCGAAAAAACTCCCACTTCTCCCAGCAGGCTCCTTCCTTCTGAAGGAGCAGAAGTGTGCGCGCTCTGGCAGAGCCCAACGCCCTGCTGCACCCCGCAGAGCCCGCAGCACACGCCTCACTCTCCAGTGTCTGGGTTATGAGACACGGAGGGCAGGGACCATAGATCGTTCATTCATTCATCTGCCGAGAGGCCCTGCGCAGTCGTGAGGAGGATGATCCTGCAGGCTTTGGGTTCCCAGTCCCTGGCCCAAATTTGTCAAGAGACAGTGACTATGGGGGTGTTACTTAAGACACTCTGTGTCTCCGTTTCAAGGTCTGTAAAATGGCAATAATACCAATAACTTGGTGCCTAAGACTGCCCAGCAGTCTGACTCCCTACACTGGCCCAGAACTTCGACTGACAACTGCCTCAATTCAACACTGCGAACCTTTACCTGTTCCTCACCATCTGAACACCCTGGGCTGGGAACTAAGAACCAAACAAAAGTTTAAGGCCAATGTATGAGGCTGGTCCACATGGCAGCAAAGTCACCTGGAGCTGCTAACTGACATCGCTGAGCCTCAGTTTCCCCATCTGTTAAGTGAAAACAGTGACACTGGCCTCGGGGATTTGACATGAGGATTAAATTAAATGGGAACACAATCACAGTGTGTCATGGGGTCCAATAAACGGGAGCAACTGTGACAGCACAAACCAGCTAGTGAGCTGGGTCAAGAATAAACCAGGCAACAGCCATGGTCAGATCTGGGTGCCAATGAGGCGGGGTGCTTATTTATCCCCATTTCCTGGCAAAGAAAGGGGGGAGAAGCCTTGAAAAATCCTAAGCACCTATCAGAGCCAGACCCCAAAGTCTTACCCCACCACACTCAACAATCTGAGGAAACAGTGATCCTACCCACTTTATGTATGCTTGTTTGCCTATATGCATTTTGGGGCCACACCCAGCTGTGCTCAGGGCTAATTCCTGATGAGGTTCAGAAGACTATAAGCAGTGTTGGGGATCAAACTGGAATCGGCCCATTTTATAAGCGAGGAAATCAATACTTCAACGTTGAACTTCAGCAGTAGGACTCTGCAGTGAGCCTCAGTTCTTGCATGAAGTCCACTTCCAGGGGCATGTTCCCGTTAAATCTCTAAGCCTGAAGCATAAATTCTGTGCTCTGCCCCCAACACACACACACAAGCACACACACACACACACACACACACACACACACATCTCCCCATTCACCCACTTTTCTGTCTGTTCCTCTCTGGTTCCTTCCCAGAAAACCATGCAGCTCTCCACATCTTTGTCTTTCCTGAGTTTTTCCACACCCGTGGTCACTCTCCAGCCCAGCACTGAGTGGACCCTCAGACAAAGCCACTCATGGGAAGGAGCTTCCCAACCCTTTGCCCCAGCCCTGTATCCTCCCTCTCCCATGAACTCTCTCTCTCTCTCTCTCTCTCTCTGTTGCCTCTCTGCTTTGTAGAAAACACCTCTTCCCTGGGAACCTCAGGGCTGGACCTGAGCTGAACGCCACTGCTGTCTAGTCCACCCTGCTCCAAACTGGCAGGCTGGCACCCCTATCACACGGTTCCCCTGAGCCTCCACCCCAGAGCCTCATTGGTTGGATCTTGTTGGTGCATGTTTTGATTTTTGCCAAACCTAGTGGTGCTGCGGGGCTCTTCCCAGCTCACCGCCATGGCTGAACCCAGGCCTCCTAAGACAGAGCATGCCCTGCAGCCCCTCGCGACTCCTAAGAGTTCTCTTCCAGAAGAGAACTCTAACTCAGGACACATACCCCTACCACAGGCCCCTCCCATAAATGCCAACCTAGCAGTAAAGAGCATCAGCGCCCCATCCCAGCCCTCAGCAGGACTGAGGTGCAGGAGATACTGGGAGGAACGCCAAGCGCTGCAGGCTGAAGGACCTGCTCTCTCCTGCGCCCTGGTGTTCAAGCAACGCCAAATCCTGCAGGCTGAAGGACCTGCTCTCCTGCCCCCTGGTGTTCGGCTCCATCTACTACAATATGTCGACCCTGGGCAGAAGGCAGGATCCTCAAATTCCCAGTTCTTGCAATTATTTCCTCCCCCCTAACTTCAGGGCCACAGACTACTCAGTAGTAACGGTCCTGTGGCTGTCCTCCTGGAGGACTTAAGGCGTTGGGCTGAGATCCTTAAAGGTACAATTCTAAGCAGGAAGCACAATCCAGGAGGGACAGTGCATTGAGTCGGGGCTTCTGTGGGTCCAGTTGAGAGGGGGCTAAAAGTGACCTCAGAGGGTGGGGCTCAACCCCACGGTAGCCTCGCCCATGTCCCCCTTCCCAAGGATCCCCCAGCCCTGCACAGGCCTTCTGGTCCCAGGTCAGGAACTCTGGTCGTGTAGGGCCTGCGTGAGGGGCGAGGACAGAGGCAGACTCACCATCCGTGATCTCCATCTCATACGGGGAGGGTCTCCTCTTCACTCGGTTGTTGGTGGCAAACATAGGGAAGGCATCTGGCTCCCCAAAAAACCCACTGTGGGAGGAAACAGGCAGACCACAAGTTCACATGGGGTACCGGGGAGACAGAGGGTCCTGAGCAACTCCCCCTGCACGTACTGGGCCCCCGCCCCTAACACCTGGCTGGGAATAGTGGCAGCACAAAGACGCAAGGGGACCAGGGGCCACACACGTACAGAACCCACGGAGCAAACACAGATGAACCCCCAGACAGACACACGCATCCGTACAACCCACGCAGACACCTCTCCCCTACAACAGGTGCTCTCCGGCCCCCACAGCTGCAATTCGGGCCCCACGAAGGGGCTCCCTGACCCTCTCCCGCCTACCGTCCCCCCAGTCTCCTGAGGGGGGTGGACAGACCACAGACAGGAAACCCTGACTCACCGCTCTGACAAGCCCCCATCCCTACTCTGCGCGCTCTATCGCGCCCATAGACGCCGACCAGCGGACCTCATCTTCCCGTGCCCACACCAACCCTGCCCCCATCTGCGTATGTCCTTCAGGGAACGGGCACTCGCACGCTCGGGATCGGTCCCCGCAGACCCTCGCGCCCCCTGGCGACCACCCCCGGTCTAGCAGCTCTTACCTGTGCAGCGAGGGCAGGGCTTGCGGAGAACTTGCCAGCACCCATTCAGGCACACACGCGCGCAGGCCCGGTCCCCACCTGCACGCCCGTCCTCCCGAGCCCGCTCTCCTCCCGCTTCCCCGCCCCTCGGACTCTCCTCGTAGGCGGCCCGGGGCCTGCACCGCCCTTCCTCGGCTGCCACGCGCGCAGCATCCCCGCCACCACCGGGTACCCTCGCCTCCTGCGGGCACCTCAGCTTCCACCCACCCTGTCCCTCTGGGAGGGGGCTCCCTGGGGCGGGGGAAGGGGAGCGGAGTCCCTGACCTGCCGAGCGACGCCAGCGGCTGGCCCAGGCTGTAGAGGAGCGCGCGGCCCGGGCCGGCGGGCGCGGCGAGCGCGGGCGGGCTTAGCTGCACCATGCGGCCGTCGGGGGGCAGCTCGGCGGGCGCGGGCGCGGGCGCGGGCGCGGGCGCGGGCGGGCGGCACAGCTCGGTGGTGGGTACCGGCACCCGATGGCGCGCTTCGGCCGCTGCCGCCTCGCGGCTCTTGGTGTCCCGCGCTGCGCCGCCCCCGCCGGCTGGGCCGCCCCCCGCGCCGCGAGCGCCCAGCTCGATGACCGGGGTCTCCGCAGGGGCCGCGCGGCTCGTCTCCTTGGCGACGCCGTTGAGCAGGACCAGGTGCGGGGGGGCCATGCGGGCCTCGGCCGCGTCCCGTCCCTCGAGCGGGGGGTCACTGCGGGCCGCCTCGCTCGGCGGCCGCTCCGTCATCCTGCGGGCAAACAGACAAGCGGACGCCCGATCAGACCACCGTCCCCAGCCAGAGTGGGTGCAGGCCAGGGGGAGGGAGACCTGGGCACCCAGACAAACTTAGGGCCACGTGTGCACAGGCCAGCCCGCGTGGCCCAAGGCTGGGTGGAGTTTGGGCGCTAGGAAGGGAGGGAGCCGGGACCTTTGGCTCGGAGGTGGGAGGTAGGGCGCCTGGGAGACTCAGGACGCCGCATGGGGAGCGCAGAGATGGAGAAGGGGAAGGCCGGGAGAGAAAGGAACGCAGCCCCAGAGAAAGAAACCCAGAAGGGAAAAAAGGAAGGAAATGCAGAAAGGGGCGACAAGGCACTAGCGCGGCCCGCCCCGGGAAGAGGAGGGGGCAAACCCCTCACCGTGTTCTTCCCACACGACCCCCTCCCCCTTGGATTTTGGCGGGGAAGGAATCAGTCGTCAGGAGGTGGGTGTCTTTGGAGCCACCCTTCACCTCAACAAAACCTGTCCCCCACGTACACCCAGAAGCCTGGCGCAGTGTAAGAAGGGGACAGAAGCCCGGGACCTGTGCCCACTCTGCAGCGGTGCCAGGGACCCAGGCAAAATGCTGAGTGCTTGGCCATGACAGTCGATCCACGGCACACTGCACGCAGAAGGTGGGTATGTGTGTGGAGAGAAGGGCTGTCCTCCGAACCCCATTTCAAAAGCCTGAGAGGGTCTGGAGGAGTCATAGAAGATACCCTGCAGCCCCTGAGCCCGGAACTCCCACCCGCCAGCCAGAAGGACTGATAGGCAGGCCCTGAAGGTTTCCCCTGAGCCCCCAGCACCAATCTCCCCTCAGTGCTGTGCAGTCCCAGGAATCGCAGGCACCCAGAAAATGCTTAAGTAAACATTGTTCATGTCAGCAGCCTGGATCACCAGAGCCGCAGAGCCCACGGTCCATAAGCCTACTGCCCTGGAAAGGCATAGGCTTTCTCCCATAATTTCCATGAGCTGAGGACAGCCATGCTCCAGGAGCACCCCACGGGCTCTGTCCCCATCCACCAGAGCTCACTTGAGTTCTAGCATCATCTTCCTGCTCTGCCGTGTATGTTCCTGCATCCAGATGCCAGCAGAAACGAAAACCAAGACCAAGTCCAGAGTTTGAGGGATACTTATGAGCTTCATTAAAATATCAATGCAGAATCAACTGAATAAGGATCAAAATATGATTCCTGCCCCAAGAATGATCAGGGTATTCTACAGCAGAAAATTAACACATGAAAATCCAAGTCAGTCCCCGCCACCCCGCACAGTTCTGCACAGCTCCTTCCCCAGAGCAGACTGTCCGCTGAAACCTCCCCAGAGCTCAGCCTGGCTGCACCAGACTTATAAGCCAGTGGAGAATTCCCGTTCGCCATTCAATATGAGCTCCTGCCTGGGGTCTGTCTGCACTCTGAACCCAATCCAGAAACAACACAAGACCAGTTAAATACTTGCTGAATAGACTGTGGGTCTGAGACATTTTACCAAAAGCAAGTGTACAACTATGGCAGAGACAATAGATTGATGGCCACAGAATAGGACGCCAAGGCACTGGCAGTCACTTGAAATGCACAAGATACTGTATACCAGGTCTGACTCTCCTGGCTCCCCACACCCTCACTCAGAGGTGAACTGCAGCCGAAACATACAGGCCCCCAACGCTAGTTTCCCTACCCCACTCTCCCAACTCACCCTGGCACCTGCAGCACGTGCTTCAATCCCAGCGGCAGCAGACACTGCAATGGCCAGACTGGGCTCCACTCTCCTTAGGGCACATTTATACCCACTGATTAATTCCCAGACTCCACGCACAGAAGCAGATCCCTGAGGGGGCTCCCCCGAGGGAGCACCTATTCAAGATGAGTCGACTCTGGCCCCAAATGCCCTCTCCAGACACGCCTATAAATATCTATATGTGGGGACGCTCCCAGTGTGAAAGCAAAGATTGGTCCTCCGGGGTCTGGGGCCCGCCTCTCCCCGCCCCCTACTCCCCCCCTCCCCAGGACCTCAGGAAAACCCGGCTGGCTCTTCTGCAACCAGGCCAGGGGCTCTAGCTCGGCAGGAAGCCACCATAGAGGACTCACAAGTACTTTCCGTTCGGTTTGTTGAGGGCCCAGTCGCCTGGTTTCGGTTAGATTACGAAAAGGCAGGCCTGGGTGATTTGTTTTTGTGTGTGGGGAAGATGAAGCAGCCCGGTGGTTTTCTTGGGAATCAAACTAGAGTACGCCTGACCGTTGTAATTCTTTGTGGGGCCAAGGGTCAAGGCTCAGCTCAGCCCTGGATCCTCACCTGCTGTGCCTGGCCAGAATTGCTACGGGTGCTGTGAGCCTCTGACCAGGCAGCACAAGGGCCTAGGCAATCCCAACTCCCACACTGCAGAGAGCATTTTTATATAAAAACAGCCTCCTATGCCCCTGGGGAGCCACCTGAGATACGGAGAGATACGCCCCTCATATTACCCCCAAACCCCTGGCCATCCCTGAGAAAGCCTCAGGCCTGCACAGCGATCCAAATCAACCCCTCCTGATTTGGATCCATTTTCCTGCCACCAGAGGAAAAGTGGGGGGCTTTGGGCCCACCCCAGTTGGACTGCGCTAGCACTAGCTAGTGACCTTCTTCCTGGATCTTCCTTGGACCTGCTGTCCGCCCGGATACAACCAGCCCAAAGTTAGGGGCCCATAAAAGGGCTGTAGAACTGGACCAATGGGAGCGGCCTGGAGAAGACCAATGCGAGCTGTGTTTGCAGGGTCGGGGAGAAGAAGGCCCAGCCAGAGGCCAGAGGCACCATGGGCAGCCAGAGCCAGTGGCTGAGACCGTAGGGTCCGGATCCCCAGCTCTGGATTCCTGCTCCCCACTTCTCCATCTGAGACTGGCTCTCCTCAGTCCTGAACTCCCACCCCCACCCCAGGCCAGAAACCAGGGCCTAGCTGGACATTTCCCACCCATACCATTCCCTCCGACTCTTCAAAACACACACACACACACACACACACACACACACACACACACACCTCACCTGGGGCATATTTAGAGAGAGGGACCTCTCTGCATAGAATCTCCTCTCCTCTGCTGAAGAGGGGGAGCCGAGATCCAGATGGCGACCCGGGTCTGGCTTTCCCCCTCTCTTGCTGAGAGAGCAGCAGTTAGGCCGCCGTGTGGTCCTGGGCGGTCTGCCGCGCCCAAAGCGAGTTTCCAGGAAAGATGGGGGTGGAGAGAAAGAGGGAGGGCGAGAGGAGGGAGAGAGAGAAATGGGGGTCAGTGGCTGGGAATTACCTCATGTCCTCGCCAACCAGTCCAGGGAATGGTAAACAGCTTTCTGGCCCAGCCTGCAGGTGTGGAGCTTCCCCCACCCCCTCCCATAAAAAGACCCCACACCTGACCAATCAGGAATAGCCAGGGTCGGACCGTCGCCACCCGTGGCCCACCGCCTGGAATAGCGTGAGACCCCGCAGCACGGATCTGTCCTCCGGATCAGCGAGGCCGAGTCGGTTTCCCAACCACGGACGTGTCTACGCGGTTTGCTCCGAATCCGGGTCAGGCTGGAGCTTCGGTCCCAGCACAGAGCTGGCGGCTGCCAGACAGGAGTGGGCTGAAGGACGCGTGTCGGAAAAGAAGAATCCAGTCTTCAGACCCTGGTCGGTGGGCCAGAGCCTCCGAGGCCCTCACTTTCTCCATGACCCCCCACCAGCCCCCTCCAGCCCAAAGCGAAACCAGGACGCAATTCCAAAGGCGGTCCCTTCCCGTTCCCGGAGGAACGGAATCGGAATGGAGTCGGCGCGCCGAATGAGAGAATGGGGGAGGGGTGAGATGGCCGAGCGGTCCAGGTTCCTTCTTTTTCCCTACCGGTTGAGAGGGGGAAGAAAAAGGGAACAAGGGGAAGAAAGAAAGGGGGAAAGGGGCACATTTAGGACGTATCCGAAATAGAACCAAAGAAGAAAAAGGAGGAAGGAAGGAAAGAAAGCAGAAGAGCAAGCCCTAACTATCCCTAAACCATTCTTTATTTTCCAGGGAATTCTAATCATCGCTTTCAGCAGCAAACAAGGCAAGGGTTTAAACACATTCGATGCTGCTGCTTTGCCGAGGGTATCGGGATCACCCCAGCCCCAAGTCTTACTTAATTTGTGTTGTCTAAATTATCGGTTTAGAACCACACACTGAAGCCTTAAATTAATTGCAAAGACTTCATTCTTTGGACGTAGTTTCGGGGCAAAATCTAGGCATGATTCTTCCCTGCGGTTTGATCCAGTGCGGAAGGTTTTACATCCCCTCTGCGAGTCGGAACAGAAAGAGGAGTGTGAAGATGCGGGGGTCCACTCGTTAGGGGATGCTAGGTCGGGGTTTATTTCTGCTTTGTGACGGAGTCTCTGCGCTCTCCATTTTCTCTCCATGCCCAAACCCAGCAACTTAAAAAAAAAGGGCGGGGGAGCGGCGTTGCTTTGTTATCCTTGCAAAGAAGCCATAAGGGACTGGCCGCGTAGCTCCTGGGCGATTCTGTTAATTAAAATTAAATGCCGCCGCTGATGAGCGACGGTGATACTAGCGGCCACAATAACTGGCTAAACAAAATCCTTTCTTTCTTTCGGAGTTAGGACAGGCCTGGCCGTTCTCTCCACGGAGCTCGGCCTGGCCGCCGACGCTCGAGGGGATGTCGCTCACCGCGGGGAAGGGATGGAAAATTGTCCTTCGGAGATGCTCCCTAGGGTCCCCGCTCGCGGCGCGAGGCCTGGAGATCGCGCCCATTGTCCTTAGGGGACCCCTCCCGCAGATCCCCGCGGCCGAACCCGAGAAACTGACCAGAAATGGACGCAGCCAGGGTGTGGCGGGAACCGAAGTCGGCGGCCCCCAGCTTGAAGGCGCGGGCTTGGGCGGCGAGCCTGCTCGGTCGGCTTCGAGCCTGCAAGAGCCTCCTACTCACTACCGACCCCCCTCAAATACGAGTCACACAGTGGCCTCGAGACGCAGCAGCCGCCGACAGGACTCTGCCCGTGCGAGCCAACGCTGGCTTCCGAATACCTCATAATTTGGAATAAAAAGTGAAATCTCTCTCCCCGCCCCCAGGCCACCTCCATCTCTCGTTCGCTCGTTCTCCACCCCCTCCCCGCGACTGGCAAATGCACCTCTAAAGGACACCAGCACCCGGGCACCCAACCGGGTGCAGAGCCCGCCCTCCCCTGGGGTCCAGCCCTATGGAGGGGAGGCGAAGGAAAAACCTCTATCCCACACTGCCCGGCCTGCAGACCTGGCCAGGTCCGCGCTGCCCGCCGCGGCACAACGAAATCCAAGGCCAGCGCTCTCGGGCGCACAAGCCGATTCCGCGGCGCGCGCGCTCGCCCGGCTCCACAACGAACCGCGGCAAAGACGAGCCGCGCCAAGGCCACGCGCCCCACACGCACAGCGCCAGATCCACGTCGAGAAGGCCGCGGCGCACCCGCACCGACCACGAGGAAAACGCAGAAGCGGCCCGGGGCACCGCGATCCGCGCACCGACCCCGCGCGGACCCCGGAGCGCGCGGACACGCCGCCTCCCTGCGCGGGGACCGCTCCGGCGAGCCGCGGACATGACCCACGGCGCGCGCACTCGCACTCTCTCACCGCATGCACACAACCGCGGAGAAGAAAGGAAAACCAACCGCCGCCTCGCGCATTTCTGTATTGCGTAAGGAAAAGGGGAAGGAAGGAAGAGAGTCTCCGAGACGGGAGGGGCCGCGGCGGCGCTGGCGCGGCCGGCCAGGACGTCCGAGGACAGGCCCCGCGAAAGCGGCCGGGACGGGCGCGGGCCGCCGCGGGCGCGGGCCGCGGGGGAGGAAGCGGACGGGGCGTGCCGCGGGCGGCCGCGAGGTGCTCCCCCACCCCAGAAGAGGCAAAGGCCGGGATGCTCACGTTTCGCCGCCACGGGGGACGCGCGAGGCCATTCCGCGGCCCGGTGCTGCGACGCCGGCCCGCCCGCCCGCCGCGGCCCCCGCCCCCGCCGCGCCCGCTCGCCGCGACGCGCTCTAATCCCGCTCACGTCCGCGGCCTCGTTAGCATGGGCCGAGGCGCGCCGGGCCGCGTGCGCCGCCGAGATAAGGCGCCGCCGCGGGCCCGCGCCCCCGGATGAGCGCCTCGGCCATTGTGGGCCAAGCGATGCATTTTCATTCGGCAACTGCGCCGCGGGCGGTGCGGCCGGTGGCGCGGGCTCTGGGGTCGGGCTCCCCGACGGGCGCGCCGAGGGCCGCGTGTGCCGTCTCGCCCCGAATCTCAGCCCCGGCCCTCCAGGCACCTTTGCCTCGGCGCGTCGCGTTGCTGCACTTTGGCCCTGCTTCCGTCGGCCGCGACTCGGGAACCATCGCTCCCACCTTCCCTTCATCTCAGCATGTACGTTTCAGCGGGCAGGTCTTCTTGGCCCAGAGAACTCGCCAGCCCCTCCCTGCCCCTCCACTATCTTCAGCCTGGCCCCCTTTCTGCTCTAAAACGAGCCTGCTTGCCTCGAATGTCAAGGACAGGGTTCAGACCAGCGGCTATAGGCGTGCACTACTCTACAGGACTCCGGTGCCGAGTTTCAGCGGGGCGCAGAGTCCAGAACAGAATGCCTCCGTCCTCCAGTATTTTCACTTGAATCCTGCTACTGGAGCACTGTTCTTTTTGTTTGTTTGTTTGGTTGGTTGGTTGGTTGATTGGTTAGTTGGTTGGTTTAGGGTCCACACCCGGCAGTGGTCAGGGTTTACTCAGTGGCGGACACCGGGAACCATATGAAGTGACCCGGGTCAAACCCGAGTTGGCCACATGCAAGGAAAACGCCCAACCCTCTGTACGACCGCTCCATCCACACTGGAGCACTGCTCTAAGCACTCTACACATAGAAATGAGCTTGTTCAGTTCTCATACACGATCCTAAGGGATTGGTGTTCCTTTGATCTCAATTTACAGATAAAGGGGAGTGGGACAGTGGGACGGGGGAGAAAAAGTAATTGTTTCAGTGTCACCCACGTATTAAGAGCAGAACCTGGGGTTGGATCAGTCATGGCACTGGGCAGTCTTTTCTGGAACAGGCTCAGGAAGGAGGGTCCACTGGGGTCTGGGTTGGGGCCAAGGCTCTGAGCTTCTAATAGCACAGGTTTAAGTCTCAGCGTAAGTCACTTGATGTTGAACTTCAATTTCCTGCTGTAAAATGGAGAGAGAATACCTACCTCACAGAGTGATGGGGATTCAATAAAATGACCTTTAGAATGTGGCAGTGAAAATGAAAATTTGTAGAAACTCCCCTGCCCAGGATAACAGCATCTGCACCCACACTGACATTTTCGGTCCCCTCCCCTTTTCGCTATTCTGTCCTTTCCCTTTCGTTTCTTGTTGTAATGATGAGGGTCACAGAGTCAGTTATGGTTCTCTCCGGGTGTTGTACACCTGGTTGTTGTTCCCCAGAAGCTGCAGACTCTGGGGCCAGAGTGATGGTACAGTGAGTAGGGCATTTGCCTTGCACCCGGCCAACCTGAGTTCAATCCCTCGCATCTTGTATGGTACCCCAAGCACCGCCAGGAGTAATTTCTGAGTGCAGAGCCAGGAGTAATCCCTGAGCATCGCTGGGTGTGACGCGAAAAGAAAAAAAAACAGAAACTGCACACACAAAGGTGGTCCCAGAAATCCCACACAGCATGAGCATGCCAGGGATCAGACTCAGGCCTCGTGGCAGCCTCATGGCTCTACCACTGAGCTCCCCCCTGGCCCTCTCTATCTTTCTAGAGAAGGAAATGAAGAGAGGTCCATCTTGGTCAAGTTTTCCCATGGCCGGGAGGGAAAGTACCCACAGGTGAGTACTGAACCTCCTACCGGCTGTGTCTTTTAGCATCTCTGGTTGTGCCCCCTTTGGGGGCCTGAGAACTGGAGCATGTCTCATGTGTGATCACACACTGAGCCTAGTGAGTCCAGAGTGCGTCCCCACAGGGCTTCATCAGGATGACTCTGAAAGGAAGCTTAATTCAGCACAGCCTCTCCCTCCTGCTTTCCTTGGAGAAATTGCTCCCAGGTTTCTGATAGAGAATCCGATTTTTGGACCTGTTGCCTGGAGATCAGAGAGCCACCCATTGCTGGGCATGAACTCTGGGTCCCTTCAGTCCCATCTCTCACATAAGCCCTTGGCTGACTCCAGCTCTGAGCCACCCTTACCAAGTGACCCTCTGCCTTTGTGCTGTAGCCCTCACTGCTGTCTCTCCTCTCACAACAGCCATTTAAGACTCAACCTTTTCTGCCCCTTCTGCCCCAGGCTTGCTCATCACCAACACACCCCTCCACTGTCCTGGATGCCTTTGTTTGCTTTCATCACTTCATAGAAAGGGCGGGACGTCCTATGATTCAGAGCTAAGAACCTGGGCATGGGATTCTGGTAGCATGTCTGCCTTGCACGAGTGAGGCCATGAGTTTGATCCCCCATACTGCTCTATTTCTCTAAGTACAATCCCCCATTCTGTCCCTTGCAATGCAAACAACTGTGAGACATGTGCACCCCACACCCCCAGCCTCCAGAAAGGAAGGGAGGGAAGCAATTACATTAAAGCAATGAGATGACTGTGTAGCTCAGAGCCCTATCCTGCCAGGTACCTATTGCCCCATTGAACAGCCATTGTTATTCTTTGGGTCTCTAGGGAAATAAAAGGGTGACTGCTCCTGTATTTGGAGCCCAGCAAGAGAATGCTCCCTTGAGAAGTGGTGCCTTACTGAGGGCTGAGTAGAGGTGCCACTCTGGCTTCTTGACAGGGTCCAAAGATTGAAGTGGTTCTTCATGAAGGGGGACAGAAAATCTCTGACTAGGTAGGGCAGGTCTGTACAATGGGTAGGATGGGGGAAAACCGTTGTGTTTATTTGTTTGGGGGATAGCTATTAAACCACCAGGATCAATGGACATTTCTAGGAAGTTCTATGGATGCAAGTGAGAGTATAGGAAGGATGTGTAGAGACCAGTTCTGAGGCTAATGTGGTAGTCTAGAGAGGGCTTGTAGAAGAGAGGGCAAGAGGTGGTTGAAGGGAGACATGTATATTGAATATTAAAGCAGATCTGTAAGAATGGGGTTTGAGAAAGTGGGGGAGCAGGAGAAATCCAGGCTCCCCTAGTGTCTGGTCCTGGTGTTGGCAGGACAAGTGGTGTTTCTGGAGACGGCACCCAAGGAGGTGAAGAGAGAGGTTCAGCCTTGTTTGGAACTCCTTGAGGGCACCAGGGCTGCAGAAAGAGATGGCATAAGCAGACAGGGGTAGCACAGGCAAGAGGAAATGTCACAGGGGAGCAAGGATGGCACAGGTGAGGAGGGATGACACAGGTAAGCGGGGATGCGACTGGTGAGCAGGTATAGCACAGGCAAGTGGGGATGGCACAGGCAGGGCAGGGATGGCACAAGTAGGTGGGGATGGCACAGGTGAGTGGAGATGGCACAGGAGGATAGCCTGGGGGATAGGACGGTACAGGTGGGAAGGGATGGCATAGAGGAGGCACAGGGAGCAAGGAAGGCACCCAGGATGGGGATGGCACAGGGCAGATGGAGATGGCACAGAGGGGCGAGGATCACACAGATGAACAGAATTGGCACTGGGAAGCAGATGGCACAGGTGAGTGGGGATGGCACAGGTGAGCAGTGATGGCACAGGTGAGTAGGGATGGCACAGGCAGGCAGAGAGGGCACAGATAGGCAAGAATGGCCCAGGTGAGTGGAGATGGCACAGGTGGGTGAAGATGGCACAGCGAGTGGGATGGCATAGGGCGGGTGGGGGCTATGGTGCTATGTTAATGCCTCAGTCAGCCCTGGTGCAGCTGCAGCTCAGGGTCTCCGTCCCCACCCCCCTCCATTAGCGATTCTGAATCCTCCTGGACACTTTACCTGCCTCTGCCTCACCCCCACCCCGCGGGGAGCGGGCTTGTGACGTCTGCACCTCCCGGTCGCCAGTTTCCGACTGTCGGTGGAAAAACGGAAACTGCCAGAGCGGCGCCGCCCGAAATAGCATCTGGTGCCTGTTGGTCAGCGCGGTCCGAGCTGAGCTCCCGGAGCGGGTGACGCGGCCGCCAGGAAATGCCGCCCCTCCTCCAGTGCAGGGACGGGAAGCGGGGCTGGGGGCGCTGGGGCTCTCCTGGACCCTGCAGCCCCGCCCACTGTGTCTCCAGCCCACCC